ATGTTCAAAAAAGCTGGTATAAATTTATAAAAGCATAACAATAAAGTCAGCTAACAAACCAATTAATTCAAGCCAAAATCAAATAAGCGACAAAAACAAAAATGTATCCGAAAAACCTGCAAAATAGGCCAAAAGGCACACCAGCTTGCTCACGATACCGGTGTCATACAAGCAATAGACGCATGCATACTTTAACCCTATTCCTCAGTTGTCTGTGCGCTCTTGCCGTGCTAGTGACGCCCGCTTATGCACTGGCCAACTGTCCGAGTAGTTGTCAGTGTGATGACGATACGCTGGTGGTGCGTTGCGGCGAAGGTACACTCGATGTGCTACCCATCACACTAAATCCCTTCATACAGCGTCTGGTGATACAAAGCAACAAAATCAAAACGATCGATTCATCGCTGCAGTTCTATGCAGAGTTGTTGTTTCTCGATCTTTCCTACAACGATTTGGTCACATTGCCACAACGTACATTCCAGTTTCAACGTAAACTCCAAGAGCTACATCTAAATCACAACAAGATCGGACAAATCAGCAATATGACCTTTGTGGGCTTAACCGTATTGACGGTGCTTAACTTGCGTGGCAATCTGCTGGCAGAGCTCGAGCAGGGCACTTTTGCGAAAATGTCAAAAATAGAGGAACTAAATTTGGGACAGAACCGCATCAATCGCATCGATCCGCACGCCTTCGATGGTTTGGTGAATCTTCGTACACTTTACTTGGATGATAATACATTGACTACAGTGCCAGCGCCCAGCATTTTCAAAGCAATGCCAAACTTAGCTGAGCTCTATTTGGGTACAAATTCTTTTACGTCCATACAAGCCAATGCTTTTATCGATCTAAAGGGCTTGACACGTTTGGATTTGCGTGGTGCTGGGCTGCACAATATTTCTGCTGAGGCCTTGAAGGGGCCGGACGGTTTGCGATACCTGGATCTGGCTGATAATCGCTTACAGGTGGTGCCTACCAATGCGCTTAGCCACTTAGAGCGGTTAGAAGAGCTACTACTCGGGCAAAACGATTTTGAGGTGATTGGCAGCGGCGCCTTTTCCGGCCTTAAGCAGTTACGCAAGCTTGAAATCACAGGTGCTCAGCGGCTGCGAAGCGTACAAAATGGCGCCTTCAACGCCAACACCAACCTCGAACACTTGAATCTCTCATCCAATAAAATGTTGCAAGAAGTGCAGGAAAATGCATTAGGTGGGCTGCCACACTTGCGTCACGTCATACTCAAGGAAAACGATCTGCGCACCCTAGCTGAGGGCCTAGTACCTTGGTCCGATCTGCAAACACTCGATCTCTCCGACAACCCCATTGTGTGCGACTGTCAAGTGCTCTGGCTACGCAATCTGCTCGTGTCGAAGAACTCGTCTAATGATAAGTTGGTCGGGGTAATGTGCGCCTACCCGGAACCCATGCGTAAGGAACCGCTATCGCAGCTCTCGCCCGCCATGCTCGGCTGCTCGCACAGCGATTCAAAGCAGCAGGCGCTGATTGTTGTGGTTGTCGTCGTCACCACTGCCACCATAACTGGGCTATCGCTGCTAATTTACGGCTGCCGGCGGCGCATCCGCGAAACGCTCAAAGGCGGCTGGGGCAATTCAGCGTTGGGTCGCAAGGAACGCGAATATCAAAAAACCTGCTCCGACGAGGAGTACATGACACGGCAGCAGCATTCCTGCAGCCTGAGTATACAGCCAACGATCCCATACACCAGCAGCAGCGGTTACAATATGCACCAGACGCAGCCGTATATGGGCTCACGGCCCATACCCGTCACCGAACTATAGCTAGAAGCACCACCCCCACCTCCACATCGAGGTTGGGGTACCTCGACGGCTTCGGTGAATACAAGCAATGGTCCAACAACGACCACCACTAACACCCTACAACAATTGCAAGTACCGAACGGTGTGCACGCCAATGGTGCGCTACCCGCCGAACTACAATCGCCCTTCGTGCAGCTCAGCCAAATACACATGATGACCAACAACAACACCACCAGCCTCATCAACAGCAATTCAAACAACAAGCTGCCAAATGGTAAGGCACCACCACCGCCACCACACGCGCATGCGCTCTCCTCGTTGCCACGCTTTGGCAGCACCACAAGCAGCGCACGTCGTGAACCGTCAGCCAGCGTCAGCGCCGAGAGCTCACTTTCAAATGAGCCACCCTACAGCCAGCAACTTGCCAATCAGAATGGACAACGCGCCACCACCAACGCCGATCGTTACATACGCCTCACACAGGATCATTTCAATCACAACAATGGCCCATACGGCAGCATTGGCAGCGGCGGAAAACATGGCAATCATGCCAATACGCTAGGTGCTGAACGTTCGCCACGTGAAAGTGAAAGTAACTACATACACAATAATTCACATTATTCGCTGCCGTTGGATCATGCGCTCACAGCTACTACAGCAACGCCACCGCCACCACCACCGCCAGCGTTGCCCATGCGCAATGGACAGCTAATTAATAACAACAGCAACGGCACTGGCGCACAGCGGCAAGCAGCATACAATAACAACAGCTGCAGTAATGGTTATGCTACGATAGGTGGAGGAGGCGGCAGCAATCATTTTGGCGGCGGCGGTGGTGGTGGTGTTGTGGCAATTGGAGTTGGCGGCGGAAATAATAACAACAACAATGGTAGTTTACGACGCTGTCACTGATATACGCTCAAGGGCGATTGGTGTGGCACAAGCCGCAGCGCCTATTACGAGAAATTCGATTATGCATACGAACATCCGGCTGCGACGGCGAATAGGAACAGCTTCGAGATGTGCACGTTTGTGAGGCCATAAAGGGTGGGGATGGTGGATAGAAGAGTAGGTGGGGAGAGTTGAGAGAAGAGAAGGAGAGCAAGAGAGTTACTGAGGACTAGAGGTTTACGCCGACAGGCTTTGCGGCGGCGGCGTGGTCAACTTCAAAAATAATCGGCGGCGGCGGCGACGCCGGCGCGTCTGGAAACGCCGGCGCTACTGCCCATAAGGTAGATTCCAAAGAGCCATGAAGCTTCTAATCTTATCATGTCATCAGATTATAATTCTATTTAATTCATTCATTGACTGCTGCCGAACAGAAGAAAGTCTATATAGTACATACATTAGGTTTACCATCGAAAATGCTTTTTTTGAAAATTTAAAGACCCAACCCCCTAATTTGATTCGTTTTTATGAGAAATATTATTGCCTATTTTTATAGATTTTTTAAAGGCCATTTAGAGGTCGCGGCCTGTCGATTTAGGTCAGAAACTACGATTTTCTAGATTCATGAGTTTTTGAATGACTATTTTTGATTGAATTTCAAAGAATTTTTTAAAATTAGACCATCGATAATTTCCACAATTTGAAAATATGTAGTACTAACGTACAAAAAAACGATTTTCGATGGGCACCCTAATATACATACATCTCTATGTACTCTGCAAATCCGTATGTACTATTTCAATTTAAAGAAATAAAAAAATTTAAAGGTTAAGTTATTGGGGTAATTTATGTCGCTATCAATAAATTTTTGCAATAAGCTTATCAACCGTTATGTTAAATTACGGAGTTCTTAGGATTTTTTGCGGGTTATATATTGAAAATAAGATTGGCCTACTTTTTTCCAAAAGTTTAACCCATCAACTCCCACCAGAACGGGTCTTTTTGACCCACTGTTTGAAAAATGGCTTATAAATGGTTAAAATTTCCACTAATATATTAAGCGCCAAATTTTTCTAAGGAGAGCAGAATGTAATGCAAAATAATAGTAATTTTTACCAAAAAAGGGGACTTTAATTCTGTGTAGAAAATATTGCGATGCGCGAGAGCAAAACCTTCCTGGGGTTTGACCACTACATAGGAATACTAACGTAATTTTTACACAGCCACCTATTTCTTGTATACGTCTGTGGGACCCCAGAATAAAGTAATTTACGAATGTAAAAATTAGCAAAAAAAGTGTTTGCTTTTTATTAAAATTCTGTTTAAAATGTTAAAAAAAAACACAGGAAAATCACTAGTCTTTGTTTTATCTCCAATAAATGAGGAGTTAGATGCAATAAGGGCGCTTCTGTTAAAACAGCTTTCTGAGATATTGGCGTTAAAGTATAACTTTCTTGTTGATGTAGTATATAAAAAAGTAGTATTGTTGTAGTATTAAAAAAAAATTTCTACTGCGGAAAAAATCGTCAGATTACCAGTATTCGACCCTAATTTAACTGTAATAAACGCTTTCGATCGAAAAGCGTGTCACATATGTTTTTTTCTGAGTTACGCTTTTTTTTTAATGTTCAGTGGCCCAAGTTATGCAAAAAAAAAACCCTTTTAAAAATGTAATTTTCATTTCGTAAAATAGTGTTTTTATACGAGTAGTATTTAGTTCCTTCAAACGATGTATTTCAATGTGCATACAATATGAAAATTTTGTACAAAATTCCTTAGGCGCCGAACGCCGCCGCCGCGCCGATATTTTCGTAACTCGGCGGCGGCGCGTGTGAAATGACAAAGAACGGCGGCGGCGGCGGCGTGGCCCGGCGGCGTATACCTCTACTGAGGACTAACGAGCAAGAGACTAACAATAAAGAAAGTTTGATTAGACCCGAAAACTATAAGAAAAAGTAGTAGCCAAAGTAGTAAAGCGTAAAGTGTGGTATAGTGAAAAACTCGTAACATTTACCAGGCTTTCAGTAGGAGCTATAATAAAATTCTAGAAGACTCAGAAAAATATTTTACTACTGGCTCTCAAGCCGACTACTGCGACTAGGTATAGAAAAATATCACAAAAGAGGTTTAGCCGGATACATATACTAATACACTGTCGAGAAATTGAATGGTCTTTGCGCAAAAAAAGGGAAATATGAGCTAATGGCGTAAATCTTTACTGCGTAGAAAGTAATTGTCCGCTTATTTTGTATGGGTGCATCAGAAGCTATCTTACAATATTTTCAAGTGATATCCGTAAGCAGTTTCGGTCAGACTTTAAAAAAGCTTTTGGGTGAGAGACTTTCTATAAGTCCGATAATGATTAAACCCTTGAGCGCTTTGAGGAAAATATTCTGACCACAGTGAGACAGGGCACTTTTGTGAACTGATAAAATAATAAAATAGTTTGTACAGAAACAAGTTGGCATTCAGACGAAGGAAAGAAAAAAAACGCTTATTCAATATTTTTTACGATTTGCTTATAACTGAGAGTGCATTCACACATAAAGCCGAGCGGCGCCGAGCGAAGCAAGGTGGAATATGGCTAAGCTGTTGGTGCTCACACTGAACGAAGTTTTTCTGATGGACTCGGTTGCAATGATACCACAAAAATGGCCCTCAATGAAAAGCGTAAAAGTATTTGCTCAATTTTATTCAAAATATTGGTTGTAAAATTTGTTTTTCTTGGAATATTTTGATCTCATTTTTGCATCAGCGTTAAGAAGCTAAAAAATTAAATAGAAAATTCAAAATCAAAAACTGCTCAAAAACGTTTCTGAAAAAGCTTGCTGTATGAGCACTGTCATATAGCTAAAGCAATTTGAAAGCTTCACTCATCTCGAAACAGCTCGCTTGCTGTGTGAATGTACCCTTAGAAACTGAAACTGGGCATACAGAGTAAAAGATCTCTCTGGTCGCCTCTGGTCGCCTCTGATATAAAATCCGTAGAAGTAAATTCAACAGCTTTCTTCGCCCTAGTTGCTCTGCTACATTACTTGCTCTGAGTTTTACATTACCTATTAGTATTTTATAGTGTTTTATTTTCTACGCATAAGTTTTGGCCTTTTATATAAGTAGTCTTGCTTTGCATTGCCCTGAACCCTAAGAAAATGTTCCGCTCTTTATATGAGAATGAAACAAAAAATATGATACTCCATCACAAGTTCATTTATAGAACTTAATAGAACTCAATATTTCACTTGCACTGTGGGTATTTAATTAATTTCATAGGAAAGCCCTTATTTCGGATACGAAAAACTATTTTATTTTTACAAGCGTAAATTAAAAATTAACCGTTCAACTCTCACCCTCGCCCGGATCAAAAGAACACGACGCCCTGTGAAAGAGCTGAGAAAAGAACATGAAAATTTGACGGCACTTTGCCCTGAGCAGAATAAGTGCAGCCTTTTTTTCGAGAAAATAAAACGCGATTAGTATCCACGCATTTCATGTTACGACCATCTTAAAACTATGATCACATATCAAAATTATCTCAATCAAATCTCATTTTTTACTCACGCCGTTTATTAAAAATTCCTTTACAAACCTCTCTTCCTTGCTAGCGTCCATTTTTGTTTACTTTTACATCTGGCATTTCTGCTCTTCTTCGCAAAAATAATCGATAAAACTTGGTTGGACACCGAAAAGTTATCGGTTAAATCTGAGATTATTTTATAATTACAGATTAACAAGGGACGAATTTTGTATGGCAAATCTCTTTTGCTAATTACAGATTAGGGTGTTAAGCTCGAAAATGAGGATAATCTACTTATATGTGAACCTAGTATAATACAGACATGTTTGAAGTTTTGACTTACTTCTTGCGCTCATATCGAATTTAGAGCTTTGCTGGGCTTCGAGATTTATAGTAGAATTTTATGATAAATATTTTTGTGACACATTTTAACCACGTTTTATATGTAAGTTTTAAGCTTTGCCCCGAAGAGAGAAAAAAGGCACATCTACTGAGTAGTTAGAGGGTTAAAATGTTCCAAAAAAATTCTGTATCTAAAATATAAGCATTACAAGTCTTTCTATGCCAATTCATCATAAAGTTGTGTAGGTTTAGAAGTTTTTGCGATAGTAACTACATTTTTTGGACTGTCAAAAAAGTTTATGACTTGAATGCAAATAATACCTTAGCAAACACATTCCGTTTTACATGCAAAAATTTCTTCTTTGAAATTCTTCTTTTTGTATGGCACTTTAACTTCCTAGGCGAGTTTGGCCCAGCTCAGTAAACCATGCCTGTCGTTTTTCTTCTGTGCCAACTGACGCTAATTGGGAAGGCGCCAAGTACTTCTCCGTTTGGTCTTTCCAACGCAGAGAAGATCCAACGTCTGCGGTGGCGTTTGCATAAGACTTAATGCATACACCACCACATTTGAATAGCTCAGCTGGCAGGCAGTCAGCACCCGTGGCTTTGTTTCTTTTTTGTTTTTTTTTTCAGCCGCGGAGTTGCTTCTCGTACCCCGCCATAGCCGGGTGGCGGTACTTCGTCTCCGTCTTCTTCGACAGGGTGCTCGAGTTCAGCTCCTTGGCTGGTTTCAGCGTTATTACCACTCAAAATGGTGGAAAAATATTTCCTCCATAATTTAAGCATTCTCTGAACATCGGAAAATATGTAGGTCGCCGTAATTGTTCTTACAGAAATATTAACTGGTCTCGGAAGTCGCCTAACTTTTCTTTAGAAGTGTTTTTAAAATTTCTAAATTAATTAAGAAGTGCTCCCAAAAATCTACACTAAATTATGTCAACTAAAAATGGTGGCTCGTTTGTTGGTGAACGCATTTTCAGTTTGCCCCATACCATAAATTATATTTGCTATTACCCAGAATACCGACCACTGAGATAATGCATAAACTTTTTTCGTAATTTTTTCTTCTTCGAATTATATGTGAAAAAATATTTCCAGTAGCGAAAACCCTCCCTTGACTATCCGACTTATTATGAGCATCACCAGCCGCCCTTATTAAATTGAATTAAATTCAATTCCGTCGCAGCCGATTTTCGTCGTACGCGGTTCCGTGTGCGTTAACCCTTATGGCTTTGTTATCGATTTCCGTAACAAAAAAAGTAGGCAACTGTTTTCGTGATTAGTT